AATTACAGTTATTAAAGACTGTTATTTAGCATCTAATAATATTAATTAACAATATACAGAAGGAAAGAAATTCAAAGAATATATATATGGATATGATCAATACTGTATAAAATTAATAAGTTTTACAATAATTTATAATCATTAGATTTAAATAAATAAATTAGATTTAATTAAAATTTATAATTCACAAATAATTATTTTTTTAATTTACAGTAAAACAATATATCTTCTAGACGTAAATTCTGAAACCTTGGGTTAACTCTAGTATTTGATGTTTTTCTGGATTCACTGCGTCTTTCCAATGTTTGAGTTGTGTAGATTTTGAAACCTTTGGACTCATTCTTCGATTTAGATTTTTGAAACTTAACCAACTCTGCGTTGTATTGTCATTCAAAAATTTAAACCAAGCCATGAAATATGCATGCACAAATTAGGAATAAATCACAATGTCAGAGCAACAGAAAATATAAATAAATTTGTTGTCTTTAGGTCTCCATTCTGTTAAATCGAGTCTAGGGTTTATAAAACAATTTTATTTGACAAAGGATTAAGAAGTTTAGAGCAGCGGGAAAGCGAGGGATTTAAATAAAAAGTAGCAATGCATGATTCTTAATATTCAAGATTACGGTCGCATTCACTTGTCTAATGGCTGAGGTAATGGGACAAGATCGAGGATTAAGATGAGAATGATATCTTGAGTTTTTATGTATGAAACAAAGAGATAAGGATGGGGAAGAAATGAAAATAGTAAAGATGGGGAAGATGGATTTTGATGGTAAAAAGAGAAAAACATTATTTTATTATGAATTAAAAATATTTATTTATGTGTTATAAATTTTAATTAAATCCAAGTCATTTATTTTTTTAAATCTAATTATTACAAATTAGTGTAAAACTTATAATTTTATATAGTGTAAGTGGATTTTTATCTCTCTATATACATGATATTGTTTTTTTTTAAAAATTAATGATGATATGTCACTATCTTAGGGTAACACTTAAATATTATCATTAACTTTTTAACTGTGAGTGACTAGAATGAAATTGAAATATAATGTTAAATATGATTTTTAAAATAAAAATATTAAACGAAAAAATAATAAACATTTGGTTTGCCATATATATTTATATTGATATTGTACATTAAAGTACAATTTGATTAATAAAAAAAAGGTAGAAATTGATGATTATAGTTTCCTAAATAGCGTCACAATCCTGTATCTGGGCCGGCACCAGAAGCGCGAGTCTCCTCAATCCGTTTCTTACCACACTTTCCTTAATCCCTTATGTCTTATTAAGCTGCCGTAACCATATTTTTAAAACAATAAAATATTATTTTAAAAAACGATTATGACTCCCTCAAACGTGGATTCAACTCCTAAATCTTACCATATATACTATCAAATAAACCCACCAAACCCATGTTTTGTTTTTTCTTCTTTTCTTTGAAAATCCTTCCTTTTTTCCATTTTTTTATCGATGAACACAAAGTTTGACACTTCGTTTTCTAGCTCTATTCTCTTGTGCCAAGAAACTGAAGAAGCTTGTTTTTCTGAAACTGCAACAGAATGCTACGAAACTGTTTATTCCGACCATTACAAATCATGTTTTGTTTCAGACAATGAAGACGATGAGTACATCCAGAACTTGGCTGTAAGAGAAACCGATGTGGGATTCAAAACCAATCCATCCACCTGTAAAACCTGTCTTCAATCTGCTCGTTCGGATGCCATTCAATGGATTTACAACGTTTGTTTCTCTCCCCACTTATATATAGTTCCTTCTTTTCTTTTCTCTGTAAATAAATTTTCTTTTGTTTTTTGATGCAGACGAGAGAAACCTTCGGATTCCAACTTCATACAGCTTATTTGTCTGTAACATACTTTGATCGGTTTATTTCAATAAGATCTATTGATGTAAGTTTCTTTAAAATAATGATCACTTGGGTTTGTTGTTTTTGTTTGAAACAAGAGTTTTCGATGTTATTCATGAGCAGGAAGATAAGATGTGGGCTGTTCGATTGTTGTCGATAGCATGTTTATCACTGGCAGCAAAAATGGAAGAATGTGAAGTTCCCATTTTATCAGAGTTTTATACAAAAGATTATCAGTTCCAGAACAAAGTGATTCAAAGAATGGAATTATTGGTACTCAGCACGTTGGAATGGAAGATGAATCCCATCACACCTTTCTCTTATCTGCATTACTTCATCAGAAAATTTCATTCTCAATCTAATCCCAAAGGATTTATCTCCAAAGCTCTGGAACTAATTTTATCCATCACCAAAGGTAATGAAAAATAAAGGTTCAATCTTGAATAATCAACTCAAACTTTGTGTTTCCATTACGGAATTCGAATGTTTTCAATGCAGAAATCAATTTGGTGGATTATCGACCGTCGATTGTGGCTGCAGCTGCAGTTTTAGCTGCTTCAAACAGTGGTCTAACAAGAAAAGCAATGGTGGTGAAGATTGATTTCATTCCATTGTGGGGATCTTCACAAAGTGTGAGCTTTCTCTATTTTTGTAAATAATGTATGAATATACTTTGTATTTATAGTGTTATATTGGATGAATATACTTTGTATTTATAGTGTTATATTGGATGAAACAGGAAGAGATATATGGATGCTATAGAAAGATGGTCGAAATAGAGAAGAGGAAATGTAAGACGCCAAAGTTAGTAATAACCTCAAATTATTCGTCAGTACATAATGTAGTAGTTAAGGGTATTTCAGATGTCAGTCATGGAGGTGGCACCAAGAGGAACCTTATATTCAACGAGTCTGATCAAGATAGCCTGGCAAAGAAAATATGTCGGCCATGATGGATTCCAGTTTGATGTTTACTATTATTATTATTATTATTTCTTTTTTTGGTAATAAGATTTGGATTTATCAATGTTATTAAAATCGGATCGGACCGACCGATTCGACTGGTTGAACCGTGAACCGATCGTCTGTTCGATCCGATTAACTCCCAAAACCTGATTAGCACAGAACCGGTAAAGAATCGGAAGAATCGACTAAAAATCGGGAAAATCGGGGTGAACCGGCTGAAAACCGGTTTGAACCGCCAGTTCACTTTTTTTCTTTTAAAAAAAATTAAACCAAACAACGTCGTTTGTTCAACGAACCGAGTCAAATTCGAGTATTGCTGAGCTCGACTCGAACTCGAAAACTTTAAAAGTAAGCTCAACTCGACTCAAAAACTTACGAGCTAAAAATTATCAACTTGAAATATAATATTAAAACTTAAAATTTAAAAGGCTCGAACTCAAAAAAAAAAATTAAAAGTTCGATTGAAGCCTAAAATTTGAGCTCAATTGAAGCGAAAGAATAGTTCGCTTTGTGCTCACCAAAAGGCTCCATGATTTTGAATGTCAAATTACCTCTATTATTTATAGAAATAAGTTGGGATGGTCTTCTATGTTTCTTAGCCATGTGGGATTGTTTTGTTCTCATATTTTTACTCTTTAAACTTTTGGGATACTCTTCTATGTTTCTTAGCCATGTGAGATTGTTTTTTTTTTAAACAATTAAACCAAATGACATCATTTGTTATGATTTTTTTTAAACCCCAATTTTATTTTTTTATTATAGTTATATAATTATATTTATTATTTAATATGTTTTACCTTAAATATTATGTTGTAGTTGATTTGAATCATTTTGTTTCACTTGATTTTATGGTTTTTCATTTATACATGTTATGACTTGTGATATTTTTATACCTTTTAATATTGTAAACTTAAAAAAAGTGTTACATATATATTAATATTGCTTTGAATATTATGTAAAATTAAAAAAATATATTATTTTATATAAAATCCGGTTCAACCCCGGTTGAATCCGGTTGAACCAGTGAATCAGTACCTTCACCGGTTAAATGTCCGGTCCGGTTTTGAAAACATTGAGATTTATTGATGAAAAAGAGAGATTTTTGGTTGTTGCAATTAGTTTTTCCATTAAGATTGGGGATCTTTTATCCTGCAATTAACCAAAAAAAAAAGTAAGTAAATAAGAAAAAGGGTAGGGTAGAGAATGGGAAGATTGTTTATTTATTTTGATGGGTCTTTAGTTTTTGTTGTTAATCTTTGATTTGTTGTTGTTGAAAAGAATGGTTAGATATGATTCACATGTGCTATCAACTGAACCCCTTATATCTGTCTGTCCTAAGCCAGCACATGCGAATGCCTGATGTTTGTTCCTTTAGATTTAAGCTTGAGATCATTGTTTGGGGGAGCATCAGTTTCATGGCATTTGGCAAATTGGGTGTCAGAGGTTCCACACATCCACATGCCTTCGTGGGGTTCTTAGGATTAGTATTATTATTATCCACTCTGCCATCCTAAATTGTATTCTGCTCTCCATGTATCCTCTGACTATACAAGTCATATCCCAAAGGTTCAATGGTAAATCAAAATAGAGATAATTCATTACGTTACACCTCCACATGTTTTTGGTTCCCAATGTCTCTCTCACACAGAATTATTGAGAAACAAGTTTGAATGGTACTGTAGATGTTTAAGGATTCATTACTATATCAAAATTGCTTCAATAATTACCAAACTTGAGTAAGTCCATTATGAATGTACTTTTTTTTATATAAAAAAGATCATTTATTTTAAAATATCATACTCACGAGTCTCGGCCAAAGACATTTTAAGAGACAACGGAGAAGTGTAAAATTGCAGTGCCCAATAAGGTATGCATTTCAATTATCACACAGAGTGAATGAAATACTTACATGCCTTGCATGTTAATGAAAACGAACATAAGAAACAATAGAATTTGAGCAACCTAGAGCTTCACCTGTAAACAAAAAGTTCAATCCACAATGTATACAAAAATAATATGCTTTGAACACACCAAAATGCTAATCATGGTGATCCTTGGTCCTGAAATCTCTATTTACCTTGTGATCGGGAAAACTTCCTTGTCACTAATGAATCTAGACTAGATGTAGGAACATCGAGGCTTTATTGATGTTCATTTGGAAAACTGTTTCTCGTGGCTCATACGGGTATCGTCTTCAAGGCAGATGAAATCGGCATGCCTAAAAATCCTATGAACACGCTTACGAAGTAAGTGAGAGGAATTGTACTAGCAAATGTTCTCAAGAATTCAATAATGATGACTAGGAAGATCGCAGTGCAACCGAGGACAGCCACGAAAACGTAGTTATCTAATATACCCTTGAAAACATTTCTTTCCTCCATGTTACGTGAGCTGATCTCGTTGAAAACCTGTGGAAATTATGGAGCATACTTCGTAAGGTAAATTCATAGACACATAGAAGTTCAAATTTCCTGTGCATAACAGAGTATAGCTATTGAAGACAGATGGAGAGTATCAAGAAGCTCATAATAGAAGGCTACCTGACAGAAGACAAGTGAATTGAAAATAAGCGTGTTCAATGTCAGGACAGAATCAGGGCCGTCGAAACTAAACGTTGCTTTTCCTTTCACCTGAAGATACCATATATCCATAAACTGATAAAAGGATTGCCCTAAGATATTCTTCCACGTCGTATTACAGATAAAATTTCCGTTCTTTCCAACTGGTGAACGCTTCATTAGCTCATCAGTTGGAGGCTCAGTTGCCAGCGCTAGTACTCCCAGAGTATCCATAATCATGTTGACCCACAATAGCTGAACAGATGTGAGAGGAGCGCTCCCTGCAAAATGATTTGGCGCAAAAAGCATAGGCAAATATGACAACATTATATTCATTTGCAATGAAAGCTACAACATAAGTATAAAATAGTTGTAGACAAAACGTATCCCCTTCTTACCAGTCAAACATGCCGAGGAGAAGTTAACAATCAGTGCGACGATGTTGACTGTCAGTTGAAACTGTACAAATTTTTATGTATACCGAACGACCCCATTTGGCTACTGTCACAATTGTTGAGAAATTGTCATCCAGAATTATGACATCAGTACTCTCTTTAGCCACCTGGAATTGAGAATTGAGATTAGTTGAATCTTGATACAGTTAAATATCACATTTCTTTATATATTTAAGAAAAAAATACTAGCATGTAATAGGGACAGCCATTATTACAACGCTCCAGCATCAAGTGCATGAAAAGTGGTTGTACTCTTCCATAATCAGTTTGCATATATCGCATCAAAACTAATCATAAAGGATTCCCTCTACTTAGGGGGCCGTTTCTCAAGCCCTTCTTCTGTTCTCAAGTCTATGTCCCTTCTTTTATATCATACTGAAGCTAGCACTCCATTGAGAAAATGCATCACAATCGGACTCATTCTGTATAAAATCATTTGATTGTGACAAGATGCATGCAGAGTACAAAAATAATAACGAATTGATTACCTCAGTTCCAGCAATGCCCATTGCTCGTCCAATATCTGCTTCATGCAGAGCTGGAGCACCATTTGTTCCGTCACCAGTCACAACAACAACTTCATCAAATGTACTTCGCAATTGCCTTACCAGAGTATGTTTGTCCATGGGAGAGGATCGAGCCATCACCTGCAAAAAGAAAGGAAATGTAGGTGTGAATCACATAATTATTTTAAAATTAATTATTTAATTAAAAAATGATTATCACACTTTGACGACTCCATTGGGGATTATTTGAGAGTCAGACCTTACTCGATTATATGTTGTCTGAATACTTGGATTTTTATAAATTTGAATATGTACTTGAATTATGATCTTTTTAATTTTAATTTTCATATTCATGCATCATTTTTTAATTCTTGTAAATAGTTGTACTGATGTTTGATTTCTTTGTTTTCAGATTTGTTAAGAAAACAAATATCCCTAACGTTTGACACTGTATGCAAATTTGTCCCTATTGTTTTTTTGGAACATTTGACCCCAAAACTTTTTATTTTGATTCAAAAGTCACTCCGTTGGATTGAAACCGTTAGTCAACTGACAGCCAATGCCTCCAGCTGACTAAACAAGCACATGTGGACACAAATGGTGATTTGGTGTGTCCACGTCACTAAAGTATGCTGACGTAGAATTGACAAGTCAAATTATATTTTTTGTTAAAAATCAATATTTTTATCAAATACGTGTCACTCTCCTATTAGTGTAGATTTAGAGGAATAAAGGAAAACCCATTTTGCGTGGAAGGGGACTCGAACCTGGGGCAAGGGCGTGAAATGGTATGTCTCTTACCACTAAGCCAAATGGACTACTCAGTTTTATAATGAAATAAAACCTTATTTAACCCATAATTTATTTTCAAATTAATTAAAAAAATAAAACACGTGCATTATATATCACAGGAAGATGAAAAGGGGGAGACCCGGTTATTCCCAAAATATTAGGGTTTAAAAATCCCAATATTTCAAATCATTTCTCCTATCAAATTCTTCATTTTCCTTCAACCAACAGCTTCCAACCGATTACACAATCGCATATTTCAAAGGTGAGTTGATTTTCTTGAATCGAATCATTAATTATTTCCTCAAATTTAAATGGGTTTTCGACTAAGTTTTGTTAAATGTTTTGAGTTTGTACGGGTTTCGAATGAGTTTTGTAGATTGTATGAATGGGTTGTTTATAACCCTTGAACATTGTTGCATACTTTTGATCAAAAATGATTTATTCTGTGGGGTTGTGTTTTACAAATAATTTTTTTTTATTTGGTTTAGTTTGAAATTAACATTGTTTTGTGAATTCATTTAATTTAATAATTAATATTGTTTGTATGTTTTCGATTTTAGTAGAATTTGTGTAATAAACATGTTCGAATCTCCAACCATTGTTAGTTCTTCCTGACGATATTTCGTGTACGATGGTAAACAAAAACAATGTTATTGCAATAAAGTAGTACCTAGGGAAATTTTATGGACCGATTTAAACCCAGTAAGAAGGTATTACGGTTGCTTAAATTTTCCGGTAAGAATATGTTTATAATGACCTTGTATTAGTTAGCTTGAGATAAAGAATGCATGTATGATAAAGTGTTATTGCATATATCGATTGATAATGGAATATGTTTTCCCCTTATTGTAGCACTGTTGTAGGTATTTTGAATGGTATGATGGTAGCATGCCAGAGCGAGCAAATTACTTACTACGATAATTACGTGATAGTGAGCGAAATTTAACAAAAGAGAATGCAAGACATAGAAGACAGATTACAAGTTGTTCCTTTACTTCTACTACTCAAATGAATAGTGTGTTGTTGGAAAAAAGTGAAAGTGAAAGTGTTCAAAACAAAGTGAAAGAGATTGAAAGTGTGCAAAGTGAAGACAATGACAATAAATTAAAGCGAAAGATTAAGAGCTTGAAGGAAAAATCTAAAACAATGAAGAAAGACAAAGAATTTTATAAGACAATGTGTATTTGCTCAATGTTGTGTGTCATATGTATCTTTGTGGTAAGTTTACTTGCAATAGCACTTTCGGTGTTATGTTAAAGATTAAGTGTTTATGTATGTCTATTATTAAGTGTTTAACTGTTACTTATTAAGAAAAAATGACTAAGTTTAGTGTTTTCTATACATTAATGTATTTTATAATTCATAAGAAAACAAATACTGATAATTAATAAGTTAACCCGTAATTAACTTGTTTCATCAATAAAATGATTAACAGCATTTGTAATGTCTAAAATAACATATTCATATGAGATTTTTATCCCTCTCTTAGCATCTCACTCAAAAATTTATCCTGTACTAAAAAGGTATTTCATATCAAGTTAGGCAGATATTTTCCATACACAAAAAACAGCACAACCCAAACTATACCCTAAGAAAAAACAACACAACCAAAAGACCCACTCGATCAGACAATTCATTTCTTCTTCTTTGGTGCTATTGATTCTTGAGTGCCCATAGGTTCCTCAGCTCATCTGCTCTTCGTTAGTGCACTTGTACCAGTCTGGTAACAAATTAGAAGATTAAAATATTATTTAATTTGTCGAAGAATTGAAATTCTTATTTAATATGTTCCTACATAGAATGTCTGTTCTCTAGTCCTCAAATTTGTGTAAAGGCCTATCCCTTCGTATCTTTTTCCTCATTGATTTATCAGAAGTAACATGGGCCTTTTGTTTCTCTTTTCCTTTCCTTGATACATATGTTGGGTTTGATACGATCGTACTTGCTGATCTTGTCGAAAAATTCTCATCCTTATTGTTCTCCTACAACAACAAAAAGTCTACTTTAGAAATCTAACATAACTTTAAGTTTTACACCAAACTTAACACAATAACTCTAAATACTTGGTTTTCAGTTTTAGGCTGAGTATATGATATTTTATTACGACCTTGTCCACCATAATTTTCACAAGTCATAATAGGACCAATCCTACTAATATGTCCAAGTTTGACTTTTTTTTGGTTCATATTTTTGCTTCATTCGATTTTTCTTAGGCCTTCCAAGTATATCTCTATCAACCGGTGGAAGAACATGGCCAATTCCAGATTTCTTTCAATCTTGAGGCCCATTAATAGGTTGTAAAATATATTTATATGCTTTAATGTATGTGTATTTGTGATAATAGGAATGTAAAAACTCATATAGGTCCCCACTAGTATGCCATATTGCATAACAAGCATGCGGACACGAAATCCCACATATTTTCCACATTCTACAGGTATATATTCTTTCATTCAAGTCTACAATGTACTACCTATTCCCTTTCTTTACCTCACATTCATTATCTTCATTCCAAATTATTCTCCATTAAATGTTGTCTTTCTTCATGATGTCAATTTTTTTTCTTAATTAGTGGCCCATAATTGTACTTCCATGTAGTCAAGAATCTCCGCTTTTCAACTATTCTTGTCATTATCATGACTTGAATATCTTCAAGCATTGTAATGATGCTCTTGTACCTTGCATCAACAATGCTTGAATTAAAAACCTCACATAAATTATTGTCCACTATATCTGACTTGGCATCCATCATTTGAAAGGCCTTGGTCCACATTTTTCTCTTTTTGGATAAACAATTCAAAACCAAGTATGGTATCAATCTTGAAAGTGCATCTTTGTTCTCCTACTATTATATCTTAGTATTGAACTTCACAATTTGCCAAAAGACAAACTTATATGCTTTTGCTCTCTTCCTTCCAATCCAATTCGCAAACACGTGTCGAGCACAATTTTGATGTTCTACTCATGGTAGAACATCATTTATTGGAATCTCAATACCTTGTTAATTTTTTTTACTTAATTTAATATTTTATTCAATTATCATAGAACAATATGTAAACACTTCTTGTAACTAATTTTAGTTTTCAGACAAATATCATTTTCAATTAATCTAGAATGTTGAATTTAATATTTTATTCAATTATCATAGAACAATATGTAAACACTTCTTGTAACTAATTTTAGTTTTCAGACAAATATCATTTTCAATTAATCTAGAATGTTGCATTAAAAATAAACAAACAAGTTTTTTGTAGACAATTAGCAATTAATACTACTGTTGTAAATAATTTTATACAATTCTAATTCGTGAAATGTTGAAGAATTGGTTCCCAAACATTGCAATTTAATGGATAAGATTTAACTAAAACAAATACTGTTAGCAACATCAAGTGATATAATAATGGCAATAAAGATATATCAGCAAGTGATATAACAGCAGTAAGTCAGACTGTTAATAATAAACTAACAACTAGCACCAAGTAAATTTAATAAATTTAATTACCTTGTGTTGGTCATTGATGATGGTGTAGCCAAATCCATCATCTAATCCCAAGTCTAC